AGAAGGGTGAAGACCGTACACATTTAGAGCAAAATACTCAGTTAACTCACACGCCTTCGTACGAGAGGCTACCCTCACAATCTCAGTGAAAATATTACCTCGGAGGTTAAATTTGCCGAACGGAAGTCGGCTTTACTACAAAACAATAAACTGCGAAAAAACGTCTGCCTTTTGTTCAGTTACAACGTACCATCCCACCCGTTGCCTCACCGAAAGAACACCTATGTGAACAAATGCCATCCAATCCAGCGTTTACAGAGAGAGATATACAAAAAGCCAACCCGTTTTTCCTACATTCTTGTCCTGAGCAAAACTCTTTGGTCAAGTATCACACTTTACCGAGCTTGTAGGTCGGTAAAGGTTGTTGTTTGTCAACACTTTGACTTCAAAAGCGCCCATTGGCACTCTGATAACCTGCTCGTGAGTCCAGCTGATATTTGCGAACAATGGGAAGGGAATTTAACCGCTCGTTTCCGTAGACGTTCGTGGGGCCGGAACGCCTGACGAACCCCTGGGAACGGTTGCGAGGGAGGCCATGGTTTCAGTGACGTAAAGTAATTGCAGCAGAGCCGTAGTTTTATCCTGTATTGATCATGCGAGGCTAAAGAAGACTCTAACGAACCTAACTGAAAAACAATAATACAAAGCAAAAACAAAACAAACAAAAAAATGGTCATAATACTTGTCTTAACTTCATGTTACAATCAATGACTGAAAAAGTATCTAAAGTAAAACGTTATAATACGCCACATGAGAATGAAATTTAGCCCAAGTCATCTTTTGCAAATACTGTTACCAGGGACAGGCATGGATATCCATGGGACGGGGAAGAAAGATGGCCAATAGCTGATTCCCAGTAAGAGTCCCAGAGAAAATTGCGGGACGCATTTGAGTTCCACTTCTCTGCTCGTTTCCAAATTGCCGAATTCTTTTTCGGTTACCTAGAGAGTCGGATACCAGTTTTCTGTGGTTTTCTTCTGAAGCCATCTGTCAAGATTCGTAGCCATTTCTTTTCAAACTGCATTTTTTTCGCTTCGTTTTATTATTGTTGCCTTGTCTTACAGTTCTTGCCTTTTTTGATACAGTGAACTAGAGAACAGAGCTCAGTTGCTTGAAAAAGATCTTTATTATTACAAGAAGACGAGTCGAGATTTGAAAAAGAAATTACGTGAGAAAATGGCAGCAGGGACTGGCACTAGTATTGAGTCGGATGTCGTGGCCAGCGGTGAACTTGAACCTCAGTACGGGACCACTGATGCGCATGGCAGGCAGTTAGCCACTGAAGTGTCCCGGATGAAGGTAGGTTGTGAGAGTTTTCGATTAGTTGTGAAGAGTGAATCAACACCTTGTTAGACAGTGTTGAATGTTGTTCGATCAGCCTTGAAGGAATTTGACTCGAAACCTTTCATTCAAATCTTGGATGGTAGTGGACCAATACCGTTGGATGTTGGACCAATATCGCTGGATCGTTTTGAATGGTCGCAAGGTAATTAGACACTTCGTTGACGAGTAATTGTTGCAAGACCTAAACGTTGATGGTGATTTTGATATTTTCTAGCATTCTCTTGCTGAAAAGGGAGTAGCCGCTCCATCCCAGGCTTCCACGCCCGTTAAGGTGTCTCGAAGGGATCTTCGTCAGTTAAGGTATTATCAAATTGTAATGCTTTTACTGATGTGTGATTTAAACCAAATATCATTTACTGTTAGAAGCAATTTGAGAAATGTTGAGCAACAGATTCCTTCGTATAGACTTCAAGGTTGACCGCGTGTTGTCCAGACAAAGTTAGGTTATTCCCAACTTGCTTAGACATATTGGTATTTACAGTGGAATTCCGACTTTTCGAATCCTCGATTTTTTGAAACTCCTGATTTTTCGTACAAACGTCGTTCGTTGCGCTTGGAGTTGCTTCGGTCAGACGCTACAATTTTACCCCCAATTTCCCCATCCCTCGCTTTTTCTATTGTTTCGAAATAATCCTGCTCCCTCTCAAAAATTTAAATTTGATTTCTCGAACTTTGAAAATTCAGGAACGAACAAAAACCAGTTTTAGCCACATGCACTCCTGGATAAGTATTCAGCAAGTTCTGGGGAAGGTGTTTTCCTGTAGTTTTTAGTCCAAAGCAAGTAACAAATTTGTCATTTGTCATTTGCAGTAGTGCTACAGAGTTGTTGTCTGCGGCCTTCTTGGTTTTTGTAAAATAGTACTATCCTAAAACAGGTGTGATTCGATGCCACCTTCTATTTTTCGAACTCCTAATTTTTCGAACCAATTGCAATTTCCCTAGGGAGTTCGAAAAAGCGGGATTCCATTGTAGTTTATTTATTTAGTTATTCATCTATTTATCAGTTCTCAGGAAGTTTCGCTGCGTAGATCCCAATCTTCTGTGGCAAGCACGGTGCCTGAGTTACCAGGCCTCTCTGATAAACACAACTTAGTAGAGGACTCGGTTGATGAGTTAGTTCAAGGCAAGTGTTACTTCTTTCTTGATCTTTCCCTTTCCTTAAATGTGAAAACCACGGCAAAATTTGGATTGTTGGGGTCTTGTTTTCCTGGGACTTTTGATAACATGTGTATCTTGATTAATAGAGAACTAAATCAGCAATCAACAATAACATTGCTGAACACCTTTTACAGACGAAACATCAGTTGGAATCAAATGAACTGGGACTCTGCGACATGCATTACGTGTTATACAGACTACTATCAAAGACTCACGTTAAAAAGCTGTTTAACTAACTTGGAGAAAACGCCACAGAATCGAAGTCAACAGTTACCGGCACCGTACTAACGAGTTATTGACGGACTAAAGCAAAACTGACAACGACAGAATCACTGGACAACCGACAATTTGACGAGAAAAAACGCCTGTTACGAGGAAACTATGACGAATAACATCACGGCTTGACGTGATACAACTCACTTTGACTCTGACGATGACTGCCGCAGTGGGTGCGAAACGTCAGTCACTGTCAACAACAGTCCTATTCAAAACTACGATTACCCGGACGATCATGCCCCGCCTACTTAAATCAAAAGTGGCGACGACAAACAAATGGAATTTCTTAATTTACTCGTTCAAGCACAATGTTTTACAGAAACAATTGCAGCCGTGACTAACATAATACATTAATACACCACATAGTGGTAGCTTCTAGTCTAAGGGCCCCAAAATCTTATGGGGAAGAATTTGTATTTTCTGACTTATCCTGGAATGTGTCCAGTTGGTCTTATCCTCATTTTATTTCTGTGCTCTTCAGATTCGATTGAACAAGGCAAGAATCCTTGGGCCTAGTTAGGACATAGCGTATTGACCTACCCACACCAAGATGTCTTGCGGCGCGTAACGTGATGGTTGTCCATGACAAAGTCCGTGCCAGCTGATCTGTAGACCCGGCGGGTGCTGTAAAGCGGGCCGTGGATTGAATCATTGTATTGTTCAGCATTTCGTTAAGAACACCTTCGAGTAAAAATTTAGTGGAAACCCCATTTAAATATATTTTTACGTTCCATTCTGCAAGTCAGAAATCAGCCTTATGTCGGAAGATCTTTTAAGGTGCATGGCGCGCATATTGGTCGGTTGTGAGGTTTCGGTTGATACAAGCTTTGCAACTTTTAGTCGTTCTTGTCCCGTTGTAATTGGCATTTGCGAAATTTTTAGCCAACACTTGTGTACTCTTTTAGAAAAGTGTGAAATTTTAAAGCTGTAAATAGGTGTTATGTTTTTAGGAATAAGACGGAATTTTTGGTATATAGCTGGTGTAAATTAACACTTAGAGATGGGTTTAAAATGTAAATACTGAAAAACCTATATTTATTGCTTCTTCCTCTTTAAGTCTACCTGTGAGGCACCGTTTTGTGGAGCAAGTTATTAAATAAAAATTTGGTTTGTTCCAAAGTTCCCTCTTTAAAGAAGTTGTGGGGGAAGTTGGGGTAAAAAAAAAGAAAACGGAAAGAATGGCCCAAGCTCGATACTACTATGAATCCGAGTCTTTGCTGCTAACTTTTCACGATACCACTGTCCTGCAATTCCCAAGAGAGACTTGAGCTCAATGAAAATCAAATCAAATCTGGAAATATGACCAGAAAACAAACCTCGGAGTAATGCTGTTTTTTATATCTCGACGTTGGATATTGAAGAGAGAAGAAATTTAAACTCTGAGATCCCGAGGGAAGTCAGACGCTTGACATCCCAGGACGGGTTGTGCGCGAATAGCGATTGTCAATTACTAATCATGAAGAAATGTGTTGAGGCTCTTGAGCTATCTTGTGGAAGAGATGAGTCGTATGGAAAAGGTCAGATATACTTAGTACGTGCGCTTAAGACACGATGAAGATCTATAGAGTTTCTGTATGTTTATTTACAGTTTCTTTCTTTTGATTCTTTTGATAAAAAAAATGCTCATAAAAAAAATGGTACTCGCGTTTCACAGACTGAGGCATAGTTAGTAGAGGAGTCTGATTATGAAAGCTGGCAAACATTAAAGTTGAATACAACGGTGCTGTAGTTTATCTTGAAAGCTCGCTGACCGTGCACAATCCTTTTTTTTGTTTGTTCGCAAATTGTAAATGAATAAAGTAATGCGATTTTTTTTATTGGTCAGTAAGTTCAAAATGATAGGAATGCTGAACGTTGTGCACGGTCAGGTCCCAAAAAGCTAACAAGAACATATAACAAAGGAGTAACGGGTTTCGTAGCCATTCCACTTTGCTTGTGTAACTTGGACTTCTCTGGAATAAAACGATCGGTTGACCACTGGAACTTAAGGTTAAGTAAAATTAAATTATGCCCTTCTTTTTAATTTTGTGGGATATTGATCTACTCCGATTGGTTTTAATCAATCAACGCGCTAAAAACACCTTTAGAGACTTTTAAGAGCCTGAGAACATTATTTTTGAAAGAAATTTTAAGCATTTGTAACTAAATACCCCGTGAATTTGGACTCGTCCTATGCCGACGTCTGTATCCAACAATTTGAATTGAAATGATTTTGATTTAAATTAAAGTTTTGAAATTTGGTTGGAGACTCTAGTCCTGTCACGTGAACGCAGTTTCTCGTCGCTAATGTTCGCGGTTATACTGTTTGGTTCTGAAATGTTTCCATTTTCACCTGAAACTTTCTCAGCGTCCAGCATTTGACATTGGCCTAGGTTCAGTGACTGTTGATCGTTCCAGCTTGTGTCCATCGCTTCACCATAGTAGTCAAAGCTAAGATTATAAAAGCTAGCCCTCCGAAACGAACCTTCGCTAGCAGCAGTCCTTTGAGATTCATTTGGTCTCATGCTCTTGTGTCGTTTATACAATTGCAACCATTTGATGCGAATTTCGTTTTCTTCTCCCTTGCGAACGCTAAAAATCACTCGCTTTAAAAACTTCCCTAAAGGACCCAAGTGTCTTCCAAACTTTATCAAAAGAAAAATAATCAACATTTCTGATATAAGGGCAATAAAACAGAATCCAATCACCCCTGCAATCAGTAGAAACAAACCAACGAACTTTTCAAACGATAATTTCTTCACCGGCATTGCATTACAGTCTTTCTTGTTGAACCAGTAGTCTATGATCTCTTGTATGCTGCCATTTTCCTGGTTTTTCAATACCGATAGAGTAGCTTCCTCAGTCCAAGGCGATCCTTTACGGAATGCAAACCCGTAGCCGTAATTATAAAAGTTCTTCCCAGCCAGGCTGTAACGGCAGTCCGGGTCTGCGTTCCCAGCTTGTTGTAAAGAATGGTAGTCACCAATAACTCCGTGAATCTTGCTGAAAGAAGAAGGACAAGACTTTCTGAACAGCTTAACAAATGGATTGTGTCACTGAAAACTCAGTGGTTACAGTTCTAACCATAGGCACGTTTTATAAGCGGATATTTCTTACCTAATTGTCTGCTGATTATTCCCTTCACATTTTAATTTTCAACGTTTTTTTTTTTTGGCCTTCAAAGACATATATAACTGAGTCGCCTTCAAACTCAAGACAGTTATTATGTGGTGTGTTAATGCTACTAACTTGTGCATAAGTTGATCGATGCCTTCCTGAAAGCTATCCAACAGATGTATCTTCAGATTGACTTGGTAAATCTTTCTGAACTCTTCTTCCACGTGATTCTTGAAGTAGGCTTCGTCACTGGTACCTCGAGTGATGCCAAGTTTAAAACCATGTGGTGGATAAAGCGACTTCTCCCGCAGCTGTTCAGAAGAACAAATGTTATAAAGTCAGTTTAACCGACAACACCCCTGATATTGGGTGCTAGTCATATTTCAGTTTTTGTTCTCGTGATAGACTGACATCTGTGGAGAGCACAATTAACACAGCTACGCCTAAGATCTAGAGGAGAGTGTACCCCTAACGGTAGGGGAGCTAAAGTGAATTCGCGGTGTTGTTCCATGTCCTTTAATTTATCAAATGTAGGTGAATATTTCTGGGGTTAAATTCAATGACTGTATCTAAAGGGCAGAAAAATAAAAGACAAAAACTGATGCTTTATGTTTACGCCCTCCATAAAGGGTGAAATTAAAAAGTTTCACTTCGCAGTCGTGCAAAGACGGCAAAGACAAGCACAAAAAAGCATGATTCGCGTGCAAAGTTGTTGTTTTGCTGATCTAAACCTATTGCTTTTTTGCCGTTCTCATTCCCGTCGTCGTCGTCTTTGCTTATTAAAGCTCCCTACTAGCAGTCATGAACCGTCCTTGGGACCATTCACTTTGTTTTCAATGTGCGTAATTTATTCTCGTTCTCAGAGCTTTCGGTTCCTCTCAACTGGCGTGAGCCTTCAAGACGCTTCACGTCAGGAGGCTCTGGGAGGAGATTGTAAGCAGCTGTGAGCAGTAGATACACATCGCCGCCTGGTTAGCTCAGTTGGGAGCGCGGCAGTCTGGTCGGATAAGGACGAAAAACCGTGGATCACGTCACACAGCACTTTCACTTATCTGGTCCTTGTGGGACGTAAAAGAACCTACACCACTAGTCGAAAAGAGTAGAGGGCGTTGAATCCGGTGGTGCGATCAGCCTTTCCTGGGGTGGGAGAGTTCTCCGTCAGGAGAGATTTTAATATAGGGATATCGATAACCTCACGATCCTCCTTCAGGAGTCGTAATGGCTACCTGTAATCAGAGTATGTATGTACCTTCTCATCCCTTATACCACTGATTGGTAGGATTGGAGATTCCTGGACTAAGAAAGCCATCAGATTTGCACAGTACGTATTTACCATGATCAAAGCCAAAAAGGCGTAAACCGCTGATACAAAGCGGGCGCTATTGCTGCGTGGGGACTTCTCAGCACCTATATCTTTGCTAAAGGCAACGCCCCATACATAACTCATGGAGTCTGGAAAGAAACAGAACATAAGACAATGTAAAGTATTGTTCTGGGCAAAGCATTGTTTTGCATTCTCACAAAATCAATGAAGTCAGTCTTGGCTTTTCATGGATTTTTTCACAATAATAACGATAAAATGTCGAGTTTACGACAATGAAAATGTCTGTGTTCAAACATATGATGAACGCAAAGGAATTTTGCCCACCCGCAAAACACTTAGCAACCGTCAAGAACTTTTGTTTGATGTGTGATCGTGCTCTGGATTTTCGGAACAAGTGCTTTTTAAAAAAAAAAATGGCATAACTTATGAACTCGGAAAAAGTCTGGAATGAGAAAACTACCAATAAGGAGGGAAACGGTGGAGTAAATCTCTTTCCTGTCTACTTTCTAGCTTAGCCAATTCCTCCCTCATCCTTACTATTCCCTCCCCGTTAAAATGTGTCATTCAGTCATTACCCCTTATATCCAAAATACTCGCAGTATGTCAGTGGCCTGCATTTAATTTCAGTGTTCGCCTCCTCAATACAATTTGTTCCGATTTCTCCCTCCTCTCCAAATTTGGGGCCATTTCTCCCTTCTCTTAGGACCGCTCCTCCACCCACGCCACCAAATCCTCCTCCCCGATATGTTTTGGCCCCAGGGAAACAAATCCGGGCACATTGTAAGAAAGCGTTCGCCATTAGTACGCCACAAATCTTACTTCCCTCCCAGAAACGAAGTGTGCATGTGGTGAACGATCCTTTAAGTAGACTACTGGAGACATGATATATAATTTCTATACAATCAAACCACTAGAGCTATGCATCCTAAAAGTATCAGCAAGAGTTAAACATGCAAAGAAAAAGTATCGCTTGAAGCGTCGCGATCAATGACAAAGTGAATCGATAACACACTTACCCAATAATGTAAATGCATCTTCGTCACTGTCCTTGAGAATGTGGTAATAACCTTTAGGACTTTTCCTATCCAGCCACCAGACCACAAACAAGACCAGGTTACACGTGACCAAGATAGCTATCCACAAATCCACTTTGAAGGGCTTGAGCCAAGAGAACCATAAACTGACTGGTAAATAAGAGAATTAAATGCACTCAGCATTTATATTTATGTGATGGGTTTAATTTAATACAATAGTTATGGAGCTGGCACATTTCATTGTTATATGTTTTGTTAATAGGTTTGTAAAATTTTGGAAGCTTGACCAGTGACATTAAAGCCCGGTTGGACTACTCCGACCAATAGACCATTTTTCCATTAAGGTATATTCACAGTCAATCACGGGTAGGGAACATTTAACATAGTTTGGATGTTTTTGGCGAATCACTTGTTAGTAGAATAGCAGGGACCGCTTCGGAGCTTAGAGCGTCAAGTCGCCTTTTCGTGGAGCTACCTTAATTCGTGTTCTGCGTGTTTTGCGTATTCCTCCGCAAAAATGGTCTCACTGTACCCTACTATATTACCGTTGTTGAGGCGCAAGGGTAATGCATTATCAGTAATGCTGGTTAATATGCATTATTATCCATTCAAAATATTTTCCCGATTCTAATTGGCTAAAACCACACGCGTAATTCACCATAACCAGCTACTGATGACCAAATTTGGAAGAATTTTGCGATCAATGAACCGATGACGTCAAAAGTGCAGCTTTTTTGTAGGTTAATGCACCGTTAACCGAGAAGACCTGGGGACGAGGTTGAGTTGTTTTGGTTGTGAAAACAAAAGTGGCGGACATTTCACTCTTTTCAAGATTAAGAACTAGGCGAAATAAAAGCTGAAAACATGGCAAGAACAGGAAGAAGACAACTCAAAGGGCGACATCTGCTATTTGGAGAATATTTGCGGAGCTGAACAATCCTAAACGTGCACTATCGAATATGAACTTTAACATCGATGGTTTTGAATGAATAACAGATACGTTTTGAATGAACAATATAACAATTATTGAATTCGGCGTTCTTATCGTATAAATAAGATGTTCAGCCTCATTTATTAATTGTTTAATATCCAGTTTTAGATTATGGACAGCTACTTTGTAGCAGTTGAACACACACTGAAGACGAATTTACTGATAGCTTTCAATTTACCTGATTTTCCATGGGAGAACTCCTTTTGGACCAGGATATTGAGTGCCGTTGCTATGTTTGGATATATCATGTTGATATACTGTGAACGATTCATGGTTATCGACAAGTCAAGGGCTAGATCTGCTTTACCGGAAATAATTTCTCCCACGATCCCGGTCCAATTGTTTTTACTTGTATCGAACTTGCCGTATAGACCGTCAGAACTGACATAAATTTCAGCGTCAAATACGAGATCTTTTTGCAAGGATTGCAAAAAATCTATCGATGCTCCAAAACAACAGAGAAGTTGCTTTATCTCCTGGCTTGAATTCGTGACACTACCGTAACTGTAACATGGGAGTGCTCTTCCTAAGCATGGTCGGTGGCTCTTAGGCATCGCAGGGGCCTTTGCTTGCACCAGTGGGGGCCATATAACAACAGGGACTCGGAGAATAGGGCGCTTTGGATGAAGGAGCGGAAACAAGGTATTTCCATCGAGGTCCATCATTGGCTCCAAAGCGAGGCCTGCAGGGGTGACCAAGCCCACTTGAGACCAATGCTTTTCACCACTAAGATCTCTTTTAAGGTTTAATATGATAAAGACTGAGCCAAGAGGATCTTGTAAGTGATGCTCTTTAAATAAAGAACTTTTTCCTTCGATGTAAGTTTCCTGTAAGTACCTGTGCGAATTAGAAGGCAAGTAAATTTTACAGAGCTTAATGCCTATAATATTGGCAGGGGCTTCGTTTATACGAAAGACTCTACTAATTACCGTTAACAGAAAAATATCTGAAGTAAAAAGTTAATTTCGTTTGTTATAATGCCTATTGGTGGCATTATACCCTGAGGCGTAAACAAACCAACAACGCAACAGACAAACCAAGCGAATAACTTCGTAAACGCTAAAAGCCATGCAAGAAAGAAACCTCTGCTCTCAGGATTATGGTTTTTATTTCTCTAGAGACTATTCGTGAGGAAGCTATAATAGGGACCTTTTGTTTCAAGGGCGAGAGCGACTACGGGGACGAGTTTTTACTAAAGAAAACACTTCCCAGAATCTAAAAACACTTCCAAGAATTCAAAAACACTTCTTAGAATGAAAAAGCACTCCCTAAAGTCCAAAAACACGCCCATTCTCATTCTGGAAAGTGTTTTTGTATTCCGGGGTGTGTTACTGGATTCTGGATTGTGTTAATGCGTTCTGGGAACCGTTTTGTCCCTATGACCCACCGTAGAATTCAACAGCAGAAAATTAAAATTTTCACCACTCACATTATTACGTTTTTCTGCAAGCATTTTGACATATTCCCTGAGGCAAGGAGAGTTTGTGTTCCGTCTTTCCCAAGGCTTACCAAAGATCGTTTAAAAACAGTTTCAAATAGGGCAAATGAATCATACAGTGCGTTTATATACTGCTCATAGTCATGTCCGATCTCGGGTTCCTTTGCCTTAACCATAATCACACCAGGAGGGATTGAAGAGATATTCCTTGCACCGTATGATGTGACGTCACTCATAAGCCACGCGCTGTTGTTGTAAATACCACATAGGTTATCAATTGCGCGAAATATGTCTTCGTTTGATCGTTGGCGAATATGAACAATGATAACTTCGGGTTTGCTTTCCATAACGTTTTTGATGCCTCTGTATATTTCGTCGAACGTTTCATCTCCATCGATCCAGAATATCGTTCTAACAATCCATTTCTCCTGAACACAAAGCTCATTCACGGCATCAACAAATTGTTTACCATCGTATGTCGTAGATGCCACCAAGCTTAATGTCTGCCATCCCATTTTCTTTGAAATCGCCATCATAGTTTGTGCATATTGAATGACTGAAGGTGCAGCTACTCTTGCAAGTCCCAAAGCAAATGAGCTTTCCTTTTGTATAAAACGTAAATAGTACCGTGTAATTAAAATACACCCTGCGAGCAGAGATTCCCGTAGGTGTCAGTAAAACGCGGGGTCAGGGTCTACCCGTTTTTAAAGAATGCTGTTTTACGGCTAGGGTAAGGGTTGATACTAACCCTAACCCTAACCCTAACCCTAACCTACCCTAACCCTAACCCTAAAACAGCATTATTGAATTGACATTTTAGCAATCATTCTTTAAGAAATATGATAAAAGGGGACCCTTCATGAGTAAAGAAACAAAATGGAAAATCTGTTCTTCTTTCAATACATGATGACTGTAATAAATTATAACATGAACGAGCCATGTTTGCGCTAATTAAAATGCCAAATATTTATTCAGTGCACCGATTTTAACTTCCGACAAATTAATTATCCGCGTCTTCATTCGCTAAACTGTTTTTCTTGCTACAATCAGGTGGCTTTTTATTCTTAAGATAGACTCGTATCAAGATGGTCCTTTTTGTTGCAAGCAAAACGCTGATCTTTTAAAACCCGGACTGGTCATTTTATACATATACCAGTAATTAGCGCAAAAAATATGAATGATTCAATTTAGAAAAAAAACCTGTCGTTATCTCGCGATAAAAACCATATGCCACAAGGTGATTCTAGATATACTTTTTATCAATTTGTTTATTCGTACATATTGCGCGACACAAAATTGACGCAATGTTTTTGTCTGTTATTTGCTTTTTTATTTAGAAAAAAAGGCAAATAACGAGTTGAAAAAAAAAAAAAACCACACACACATACGTTACCGGTTTAAACAGAATCAAGATTTTCTCAGCTTGAAATGACGTTTACTTCAAACAATAATAGGAACTCATTAACTGCAGCGATATAAAATCCACACAGAAAAGCACAAGACAAGATATTATATACGATTCTGAGTGTTGTTTGTTATGCCAACGTGGGATTTAGGTTTGACGTACCGGGCACTTTGACCAGATTAAACGTGTGTTTTATAACGATACAAGACAAGTCGTGCTACATAAGATGCAAGACGATATATAAACATTAAAACCCAGCATGTTTTAGGCAAAAAAACCTCATCAGTGCATGAAGACTGTTTCTCTTTGTATAAATTATAAAAGATAAGATGTAAACAGTGACATGATAATTACTTGCGTCCTTAAGCCAGATCAGCTACACAAACGTAGTATCGGTGTTCGAACTCCCTAAACCTTTAAAATTGTTCTGACTAACATTTTTCCAGTTCTATTACTCAGTAGTGCAAGAGGCCCAGCCAGTTTGTATGATATTACAGAATTTCAAATAAAATGGCGGAACTAATTACGTGGCAACCTAGTATAAAGACTGACCCTTTCTGCTTGTCTGTGTGCTTTTTAAGTCCAAGCTTATTGAACCGTGGACATCAGTTCAGTTCAATCTGTTTTCCACCTTCCTTACAGGAGGAAATACCCGAATCGGTTAAATTTTCAGTCGAGATGTTCAAAATATTGGAGCAGATTGTTCTCTGATTAAAAGAGAGGGGTATTAAGGGGTCTTAAAATACCCGGTGCATATTGAAAGGAGAAGCTAGAATTTTTCAAAATCAAACTAAATTCAGACAAAGTGTTAAGTTGAAGATCGCGATGTACTATGGCCTATAAATGGACCAATGATTGGAAACCAAGAAACACCAATATGACTTTTAAAGGAGACTTTTTCATACCTGCGTAACTGGATATCCGTTTTGGCTCCGAAACAAACCAATAGATGGAATTGATACGCTCTCCAAATACGTGGAGAAAGCAACGCTGCTTTCAGTCACATCTACTAATATCGCACCATGAGATGAAAGTGTTAAGTTTGAAACCTGCGGGATCAAACTGTCCAGGCCGTTCGCTCGCGACGAGAGGTTCGTTAAGTCAGTTTTTGAAAAGTGCATCTTCACCTCAAAATCTGCATAAGAGTCACTGTTGCCTTGTCTATTTCTGGATTCGAACATTTTCACTGCTGTGTTAAAGACAGATTCGTGATAAATACCATCGGTGTTAAAAAACACAGGGATGTTGATACGGTATTTATCAACCGCATATCCCTGTAGTATAAGTAACTGGAATACAAAAAACAAGATAATGTACCGCTCAAAAATTTCTCCTGTAGTCATATCATGTGCGTTAGCTAAATCCAAATAAAAGAAAGTGACTTGAATTTCTACACCGTTGTCACAATTTTAGTTGAAATATGCCTGGATATTTTCCATACATTTATGATAGCATATCACAGGTGTTTTCAGCGGATCCGGTTTTATGCGACCTTCAATAAAAAGAAAAAAAACGAAAACCTGAAAATTCTATGTGATAATTTTAGCATGTAATAAAAGAGGAAGAACGGATAGCCAATCAGAATGGCTAAAATCTAAAAACTAGAATATGCGACGAACTAATATCCTTTCGTAAAATGAAATTGCGGCTCATCAATACGTTGGCAAATAAGCAGAAAAGGAAAAACATTAGTCGTAATTTTATTCTTTCTAGCCGCCAAAGTTGGGAATAAAAAGCTCCAAGGGAGAGAATCGGATCGATTTTAAGACAATCGGCCTTACAATGGAACTTATGTCATACTGCAGCAAGTCAAATAACCAAATAGCTGTCATTTCCGTTTAGCTAGGTATTATGACAGCAAAAGTCTCTAATGGTCTGACGCTATTGGCGTCGCTGCTTGGACAGCAATTATTTACGAAAAATCAATTCGTATTGTTAGCTTAGAATGGTGTTTCGAGTCACACGTTAAGGAAATGCATTATAATGTTACGTACTGTTTATGCGAACTATTTGCAAATAACTAGAGAAGTTTGACAGCTCTTAACTTTATTATTCTAAGATCCACAGGGTAAAGAGATCATACGAAACAGTCGTTCCGCAAAATGTAATCCGGCGGCAAATGTGATGCACCCCATGATACGTTTTTCCAATGTAGCCTACAGCAGCTGAAATCCAAAAGAAGGCGCTAATGAATTCCCTATTTAATACAACCTTTCCATCCGGTCGCGTTTAAAAATTCATGCAAACACTTCGTTTATTTTTATTATATACTCTAACGTTTGTGAGGCTTTTTTTCACAACCCAAAAGATCGGAATTGAGGGCTCAGTCGAACTGTTTTCCTTCTTTTTCATAATCATAACATTTACGCATCAAATTTTTCCCAGAAAAACCAAAGGAGATCTTCTTTTAGCATTTACAGGTTTACAAATTGACGAACGCCGTTGGCGTTGAATTTCTCACTGAACAGCAAAATGCTTGTTTTAACGAGTTGGCCTTTCTTCTAGCACCATAATCAAATTATACATGACAAAACTGAGGCCTTGTCGACAACTACGCGTCTCCGAACACCACCGTTTTGGTGCCGACTAAAACGCTTTGAGGGCTCGACTTACGTCACACCAGCGTTTTCGCACCGTTGTCGACCATTCACGTACCGCCATCGAAAACGAATGCATATCTAACATAGTTTCGTTCCCAGGCTATTTTTGGAAGTGTGTGCGCTCTCTTTTAATGCGCCAGCGAAGCTACAGTCCCGCCATTTTTTAAGTGTAAACAACCAGGAAATAAACGCGAGTAGGTTCGATGCCATCGTTTTCAAAACCTGGTGTTTTCTCGTCGATACCAAAGCGACAGTCCTCTGTTTTTGATAGTTTATCGAAACAAACAAAAATTCCTGCATTTTCAGACAATTATTCGTACGGCAGACAGGCTTTGATGTGTTAGATGAACACTTACATGACCGTAGAGACCTTCGCTGCTTGCACAAACGTGAAAGCAACCCACTTAAAACCAAAATATTAATACAAATATCTTTCGTGACTTCAATATGACTTATTTGTAGAAACGATTTCCATGACCACATAAACAACGCATATCCATGATCAAAATTGATCTTATAATCACCACCGTAAGGATAAAGACTGCTTAGCTAATATACCGAACTAAATAATTAATTTGCCAGTTGGTTTAGAGTTAAAAGTCTCTCATTAAACCTGAGAAAAAAAAACACAAAACAAAATAAATAAATTTGTTGTCTTTAAACCATGCCAAATACGTACAAATCATAACATTCAACTTTAAATGAATGGCCAAAATTGATCAGGTATAAGAAACAGTTTTCTTTGAAGTCATTATAGATGAACACTTAAAATGAAAGTCTGAAATCTTACTAAATTTTATAGCACCTTTAATACCGACATCGTCCTTAGGTAAATATTTGTAATAATTATTAGTATTATTACATAATAATTATTAGTATCTTTTTCTAAATGTGACAAACGACAGTTCAATATTTAACTTTTGTAAATTTCCTTATCATATTCTTAATTTCCAATTGATAAATAATTGTATCCGTCGCCGTAATTTTTAAACCTAACCCTTGATGAGGAGGTCTGATTAACACAAGCTATATAGTTTCCTTTAGGCCTCCTCGCCATTGCTTTCTACCCTTTTTGTATCTTTGTTGTTCTTGTCGTAATATTATGTGTGGCATACAAATTAAAAAAACAGAATACGTTTTCAACTTTGACAAAGAGAATGAAAGATCAACAATCATAGGCTCAAGTTCTCCCCAAAAACTGTTTCAATAGTTTTGGCTCCGTTGCTGAGGGGAGTAAAACAAAAGAAATAAATTATTAATCCATGAATCCCAAAGCGATTTCTTTTGTTTTTGGCTATGTTCACACTATACCGGATAGATTTTGCACCGCCACTAAAATCATACCGCATAGGGCTTCTGTTCACATATAAGAACAGTGATTTCGGCGCGATTTCTATAACGGAGCGAGGCCGCGCCGCGGGGATCTCTCAAGTGGAGAGTCACATAATCGGATAGGTGTTCACACTACATCGGATAGCTTTTGCTCTGGCACCAATATCATACCAGATAGGGCTTCTGTTCATGTACATAAGAACGGGTGATCTCGGCGCGATTTCTATAACGGAGCGAAGCCGCGCGCGTCGCGTCGATCTCTAAAGTGGAGAGTCATATAATCGGACAGGTGTTCACACTACATCGGATATCTTTTCGTGCCCCGCTATCCGGTATTGCGTGAACACAGCCTTATTCCCTTCAATATCGGAGCAAAGTGTACATTTTAATAATTAGAAACTGGCCTTTTTGGTATTTGTCAGTAAAAGTCGTAAACCAGTGTCTTCAATTAGTGCATGAGTTCTTCCGTGAAAAACACATCGACACTTCAGCGCAGACCAGAGTTATGAGGACATATCCTTATACAACCCTGGCAAAAACAAGGAACCCTGCCCTGTACTGCTCGATTTTTCGCATGCATTTTCCCGCCTTGAGGTCTTTTCTCCAGTCACCTGATCAGATCCGTCCGTACTCAGCCTTCTTTTCAGCGTACTTGATCTAAGATTGTAGCCAGACGAGTCCAACGTCGGCATGTTCTCGTCGTAATGGCTCGTACCAGAAACTGATTGAGTTTTCACAGAGCTTTCACAGCCAACAGGAGAGGTTTCCTGAACCGGGTGCACAACAGGTGGTTTGAGAATCTAAAGTGAAACAATAAAAAGCAGCGGTAAGCAAATTCTGCGAGCAGAGCCTCTTCAGTTTTGTCTTCTTGAGTGAGGCGGAGAAAAAGAGGCTCCGACTGAATCGCTTCGATTCTCTGAAGTCGGCGCAACCCGACCTTCTGGACTAGTCAATCCTGCTCTCTCTCGTCAAACTGGTTTTCGAGTGCAAGTATCCGTTTATTGATCAACCGATGGTCAGAACTGAACTCACTGTACCAAACGCACGACTATTAGGCCTGGACTCTAAACTATATCCTAGCAACGTGTCGCGCATGTTCAACAAAGATCTTACTCAACTCGATTCATACAGTCTTTCTCGAGTACGTCAAAGTCGAAGAAGAAAAAGAAAAGTTCTGCTAGCAGGGTGTGGTAATTAATCACTATATCAATAACAAGGGGAGTGTTTCATTCATAATATCGTGGGTGACAATTACTCCTTAATTTTGGCGCCAAATTTCAGCGTTAATTTATCACTTCACAAGTAAAATTGCAAAATTGCCATGGCAACGTTCCGTACGTGTCAGTGCCAACATGGCAGCAAAGTTTTAAAATATTATGAATGATGAAGATGTCAGGGCATTAAAATACGCTTTAGAAAACCTAAACACTCCAAAAATAATTATGAAAATTATGAATAACGCCAAAATTTAAGCTCTAAAGTTTACAGTGCTAGCAGTGGAATTCTCGATCGATAACCAGTTTGATATGAAACATGTCAAAACACCTACGATTGTGAGCGTAATCTGTCATCCATGATATTAATGAGTGGTAATCAAAGAGTTTACTCGTAAAATAAGGGAATAATTTCACTTGCGTTTTGTCCAAATCCCAATAATTTCCCTCGCCTTTGAGTTTGGACAAAACGCAAGTGAAATTATTCCCTAATTTCACTCGTCACCATTATTGTCATACATATCCAAACACCGGCAAGTGCGCTGAAAAAAAAGACAGCTTACCTCTTGCAAGAGTCGTCTCGTTTCCCCCGTTAACGCATCATGGGAGAATTTACATCGTTCACCACCCCAGCAGTTTGTTCCGGTGTGAAAAAACTTGCATGGAAACGAGTTTACGTTACGTTAAAGAATCATTCTGGGAGAATTATCTTGCACTAGAAATTTGGTTTCTAACCGCAAAGTTAGAAAATTGTGGTCATTCAAAGCGAATCAGGCGTAACTGCAGAATACCCGGCCCCTTAGAAGCTATACCCCTATAACAGTTATGTAGTTACATGGATACGTGGCTACGTGGCTGCGTAGTCTCCTACGGTTAGGGTTAGCATTAGGGTTAGGGTTCGAAATGCGAAACAAATTTATTCAAAAGGTGTTACGCTCCAAGTTCTTCAATCCCACTACGAGAAATACTTGTAGTTTATCTGACTCATTCTTTAAGCATTGATCCGAAGCAAACGTACTACACATGTAATATCCCTCGTTCCTTAAACCATGAGCGGAAACAACCACATATATACCTCGTATATAGTATAACTCATTCTTTAAGTCATGGATCCGCCTAGTCACGCAGACCCATAGCTACGTAGCTGCGTACCCGAGTAGGCACGTAGCCACGAAGCCACTGTTACGGGGGTATACCTTCGCAATGGCTGGGTATTCTGCAGTTACTAGTCCGCGAATCAAAAATAAGCGATTTAACGCTGTTGCATGTTAGCTAACTTTCCCACACTCAAACGATATTTTTTTATTCTGTCTACTACTTCATTTGAATTTATTTCCTGAATTTTTGGTGCAAGCTAATCTAGTACCCAGGTCTCTTACTGACGAAGCCAAAACCTTCGTCAACAAGAGATCTGGGTAGGAGAGTATAGGCAAGCATCTGGATTATCTTTGCAGTAAGTTGATTTTAGCCTCGACAAGTGCAGAAAACTGAATGTAAAGGGGTTATTAGGGAATGAATCGTTTACTGTTCATTGAAGTGCTACAGAAGAAAAGTTGATATCGGGGAAAATTGAGTGACACTTTCACGCAAAAGGAGACAAACGAGAAAAAAAACAAACAAACAAAAACAAAACAGGGCCAATTTTCTCCTTTATAAAGTCTTCATGCCTCATTTGTGACCGGAAATCAAGTTAACCTGTTTCTACACTATGCAATTTGAACAGAAAAGGATATTGTGCATATAAGGGCATTCATCTTCTAAATGACAACTGCTGGAAGCATAGTATTTACACAGTTCTCTTTTCCTCACGATTGCTGATTTGTCATGGCGGAAGGAACATTGGCTGCCCTGAAAAATAAGTAGAAGAAATAAATTTCATAAACTAATTAAAAATAATAACAACAACAACAACCTGAGTTAAACGTGTTATTTTCTTCTTGTATCGCTCAGCCTGTTCCAAACATTCAGGTGAGTGGAGTGTGGCACAAACCTGCTTACACCTCTTCGCGCCGACCCCACAATCTGAACGCATACATCTGTAGAACAGGCTAAGTAAATTTGTCTATCCAGCGCTTTGCGGGGGAAAAAAACATCGTCACGTCTGGTATTGTTCACCGTCGGGAAAAAGGGTAGGGCAAACAAGAAATGGATAACGGGGAACGGGAAATGGGGAACGGGAAAATGAAAAATGGGAGCAAAACTAAACTAGAAACTAAGACCTATCAGTAACTACATTTCCGGTTCTAGGTTTTTTCGCATTTTTCATTTCCTGTTCCCTGAGTTTGTTCCCTACTCCCTGTTTTAGTGTAACATCCTTGAAACGAGATAAATTAAACATTTAACTGATAAAACCCTGCCTGGGTGGGCACTTTAACTTGACATTGCGAAGACAGAACAACAACAAAAGCAACAAAAACAAAAAACAAAACAAACAAAGAAACAAACAGAAAAATATCCACCATTTTACATTTTCCATGGATGTAGTAGCCACAAATAGGTTTAGGAGCAGTTCTTGGCCTAGGATGAGGCTCTCCTTTTCGTATTCTCTCCCAAGCAGCAGCTTTTCGTTTCGCTTTCTTTAACTTCTTTGCGTGCTGGCCACCTCGGCTTCTCTTAAGCGCCAACTGCAAACAATGGAAAGTACAGTATGTGGATGTTTAAGGAAATAAAGAACAATTATTTTAGTGATCTTAAAGATGAAGTCTCCGAAACAAATGGATTTTACAGACAAGTTCACAAATTAACAAAGCTTAGCTTAATTTTTTTTAGCGCATCACTTTAATACTGATTAACTACGGCTCTGTCTACACTGTACAGAGATGCGCCAGAACTGGAACGAGTCATATGGTTTTTTGTATGGTTTTTGAGCTGGTCTAAGAGCTACTGTGTTTCCTTGAATAATAGCCCCCCGCCCCTCTCACCATCTTCTCTTCCTTTAATTCCCTCCCTGTCAGGTCGAAAAGCATTGAGATCCAGCAAAAACGATCAATGATGAAAAAAGCTCTGAAAATTTATCAAGGAACTAAATTTGGAACAGTTAAAAAGCCCAATGTTCAGTTTATTTGACTTCAAGTGAGAAATATTTAAAATAATCGCCTCCCTCAAATCATCATCTTCCCTCAAATTATTGCCCCCGTTTATCATTCAAGAAAATACTGGTATAGTGCAGACATAATTTAGCAGAAAAAGGGTGCATTGATGATCATAAGCATCATTGATATCATTCAAAAACTGTCTCCAAGATTTTTTGTAGCTACAGAGCCTGCGGCCCAAACATAGTGTAATTCCCAGATAGTAAGGTAACCTTGTTCTAGCCCCAATGGTCTCAGAAAATAACCAGAAAGGGGTGTCAAAATTTCTTTTCAACCTCATTGGCAAATCGAAAATGGCTTTTTAAGAGGCCAATCATGGCACGTACACAAATCCTGGTACACAGCTGGTTCTGACAACAACACACAATGTACCTTTTCACTAGCTGCCACAGTACAATCCACAGCATAAGATGACACTAATGACAACAGTGATCCGTCATCTGATTGACTCTGTCCCGGTGGTTTGTTTAGTGACCCTTCCTGTGACGTGTTCTGACCTGTTGGTTTGGTTTGAGGTGTTGTATGCACTGACTGTTGTTTTAGCAACATCTCTGAAGTCTCCCATTCATTCAATGAAGCTGGATTTTTTGGTCTGTCTCTGATTGCAGATGAGTGAGGTGCGGCTGCCTGTATGTGTCTGCCTTTGTCATTTGCTATCTTGCTATTTGGATCAGAGCTTTTACTTCGGGTAATTCTTTCATTGACAGCCTACGTATATAGAAAGATGAGCAATAATCAATTTCACTTCCAGCAGCTATCACTGCAAGTCTTTTAAGCGCTCTTAAAAGTTGAACAATTGCACCTTAAGGCAAAATCACCATATAACTGTATTCTAATATTCACTGATTTACACCTCTACAACTGACAATCTTGAAAAAATCAACCTTAGACATTTACATTGCCAAAAGTAAAAAAATATACAGTCATGTACTTAGCCTGTGCTACAGACAGAACTAAACTTCTGGTTGAGTTCATCTGTGAAACAGTGCTGAAATCCTTGTTTTGGGCTCTTCTCTGTAACAAGATCTGAGTATGTGTCATGCTAGGCCTGTTAAAAATGTCATTGCTCATTTGCAAATCGGGTTGAAGGAAAATTTGAAATGCATCTTTGGTATTTTGTGTTTGATTATATTCATATAGATATTTGCAAGCTATAAATTGTGGATCTTTTCTTCAAGGTACTTGACTATCGTAGCTAAAATTCGAGCCCTGGTGGTCACTCACTGTTTGTTCGGGACGTGTTTCAATCTTTCCACTGACCGGGAACTAAAGGCTAGAAACAGTAACATTGCTTCCTTCAGGGTTAGTGGACTTACTTCTTTGTTTTCTTAGTAAAGTCTCCATTCACCATTTACTTTGACTATTTTACATTTGTCTACTTTTGAAGTGAAAGAATTGATGTCTTTGGAAAATTTCTGCTACATTTACTCTTATGGAGATTGATAAAGACTTGTAACCGGTGTAACATTGTCTCCTCTCATAAAATAATGTTTGACCTACACTAACCAAACTTTTTGCACAATGAGCTTCAACAGAAAGTTAATAAAGGTTTTTGGAGGAATTTTTCAAAACTGAGAGGCCATGTTTGTTTTATTTTTGTCTGGATGTCGCACGGATTTTAAAGCTTGTGTCATAATAGTGCTCAGGCTACGCACAGTCAATTTACTCCAGGGAGCCACCTTAAAGGGACATCTGAGTTGCAGACTTGAAAATCAGAGTTTGTCATCAAAAACTGGAATTTGTTTTAAAAAATGGGAGTCTGTTTTAAAAAATATGTGTTTGTTTTACAAAATCGGAGTTTGGTTATATTCATATAGATATTTGCCCGCTATAAATTTTAACTTATTATTATTATTATTATTATTATGATCATTATCAGTTTGAAAACAGGAGATTTCCTTTTGAAGTTTGGAGTTTGAAAATTGGAATTTGTTTTTGAAAATCACAGTTTGCTTTCAAAAATCAGGGTTGGTTTAAAAAAATCGGAGATTGTTTTCCGAACCCAGAGTCTGCTTTAAAAAACAGGAGTTTCACTTAAACTTTTGTAACAGGCTGTGCAATTTCTTCAGTCACATTGGGTCTACAAAAAGGCGATGAGGTTTGAGGTTAAAGCTATTGTAAACACAATGCTTTAATTGATTCCTCTACAATGAAGTACTTGATCTAAATCCATTATCATTCTCCTACAGTAGGAAGAACTGATTTAGTCTTGTCCATGCAGACATTAAAAGTGGACGAGAAAAGCTAAGAATAATTACAGACAAATCCTCCAAACTCGTCACCTTAAGGTAGACCCAACGTGGCTGAAGAAAGCGCACAGCCTCTGACGAACGTTTTTAAACGTTGGTTAAAAGGGAAACTCTGATTTCCAAACTCTGATTTTTCCAAACAAACTCTACCTCCGATTTTCAAACTGTAATTCTTGAAATCAAACTCCAACTATCAAACTCTGATTTTTGAAAACAAACTCTGATTTTCAAATTCCGATTTCCACATCTGATTTTCAAACAAAAAACTCCAATCTTCAAGAAAACAAAAACCAATTTTCAAGTCAAACTCAGATGTCCCTTTCACTGTGAAACTCACAAAACCGTGAACACCGGAAATACTTATGAAATGTTATCATGTTGCGAGAAATAAGCAAATAAGGCGCGAGATAACTAAGCCACAAACAGCAACAGTAATTAGTTTGTGGTTTTGAGGTTTGCTTGCCTATCCTGAACTTTATTGTGATTGGCCAGTACACAATCAACATTCCTGAAATTTTTCAGGTGTCCATGGTTTTCTGAGTTTGACAGTAAGCTTCATTACTTATAAATACATTTACATCTACATACCTTCTTTTCAGCTTTGGCTTTTTTCCGAGAAGCTTTCTTTCTCTGATTTTTTGCCTTTCGCTTTTTTCTTTGCATGTTCCTGAAATGGTTTTTACTTTTTCTTTGTGTGGTATCTTGATAAAATATTATTCCTCCAGTACAGTCTTCAGTATCAGAATTCAGATGCATGTCTTCCAGTTCATAGTCACTTTTGATTTCACCCTCCTCCTCATCAGAGTCATCATCGCTGTCCCTAGGATTAAAATCATCCTGCTCATCTTCTCGGTCAGAGTTTGTGTCATCCATTACCAGCTCAGCATACTCATCTTCGCTTACCTTGACAGAAATCTTACCATTTGTGCTGACACTTTCCTCTCCTCCCTGTCCATTGTGATCATCATGATCCTCATCATCACTTGTCTCGTTATGATCCTTATCCTTCTCAGTATATTTAGTACTACCTTCGTCATCATGTATATTACCACTATCATCATTGTCATCATCATCATCATCACGGTCACCATCATCATCACCACGGTCACCATCATCACTTTTATCATAGTTGCACATAGAACTACCATTAGCAGTTCCACTGTTATTGCCATCATTGGCTGTGGTAACATCATGGCCTTCCACATAAACACTGGTTAAATCATCACAAAAGTGATTATTTCCATAGAGGACTCCATCTTCAGAGGTAGAATGCTTGTCATTAATGTCAATTTTTTCTTGATTCATCCTAAGACCTTCAACACTATCATACTCTCTTTCCTCAACATGGTCTCTTTCTTTGTTTGCAGGTTTCACCACCGCTTCATCCTGTAGATTGTCTATAAGCTTATTCTCGATACTTATTTCCTCAGGATCTGCAGCCAAAAGTGCTGCATTTTTCTCATAATTCCTGTCAGTCTTTTCAGTGACAGCCTTACTGGAGATAACGTTACTCTTTTTTGGCTCTTGTGGAAGGTCTCCCCTCCTTGCAGGAAGATTTTTTAATTTAAGCAAAATCTCTCCCGAGTTTTTATTGACCTCCTCTTTTTGGCTGGTGACACAGTGCCCATTTGAAATTTCAATCACAGGTTCTTCATCCTGAATGTCCCTGCTATGCAAAGATTTATCCCCTTCTTTACACACTGAAGCTCTTTTTTTTGATGGACTTCCAACTGGATCTTGTGAACTTTCTTCCATAATATCAGTATTACAAAATCTGGCTAATGTCACTGGTTTTTGCTTATGTTCCCCTGACAAAATGTCGGATTGTAAATGTTGCTTGCCTTCCTTAGGGTGCACGCTACTGGATTTTTGATCAACATCTTTCAGTCTAGCCTGACTTCCACTGGTATTCTCAAAATTCTTCTCTTTTAATGCTTCTTTGGGATGACTCTCCAGTTGCTTGGGGTCTGCTGAAGTAACAGTAGCTTTATCACTTTTAATAATATTTTCTGCAGATGTTGGTGTATTGTGTACTGATCTATTCCTGGGTTGGGGAGCAGGGATGATTACCAAGCATCCCCCTTTCATAACCTTTTTGACTCTTGGTTTTGGTTTTTGAGGAGGTGGAACCTCTATATTTTCAGAGGCGATCTGCTTTTGTGAATTTAAAGTGACTTTCTTACCACCCGTTATTGTTCTACTTATTTCTATTTCTTCTGTTAGTTTCACTGCTCCTTGTTTATTTTCGACATCTTTTCCTGCATTCTGCTCAGCAAGGAAATGAACAGAGGGTGCTGTTTCTTTCAAACTTTGTTGACAACATGCAGTACTTTGCACATCTTTTTCACTTTCTTCGATCCCGGATGCTTTCTTTGCCTCATTCACTTGTTTCACAAATTCAGGAATCATTAAGTAATTTGTCCGTAAAAACTCGTCCAGTGTTGGCCGAGAGGTAGCCGAGTACAGGGGTGAATTTCTGTAGCTTGCCTCCAAATGATGAGCTGGGGCGTCTTCTTTTGGCGCCGATTTAGGCCATACTTCTTCAGTTAAAGGAAGGAGGGCTGGAACCTTGGATAAAAGATTCTTCAAAGACATTGTAAGTCGTGAATCTGCCATAAACGTCTGCAAGAAATTACGTTCAAATACGTACAAATTTACCAGATGTATCCGCCATTTTGTTTTGACTGCTGCTGCTGACCAGTAAGAAGCGGATACTCACACACGTGCTTTATTTGACAGTTTGCTGACCAGCTCTTTCTCCAACAAAGTAGTCAACTAATTTTGCTTTTGAACGCTGAAAACTCTCAAATAATGAGCGGGGGAGTGTATGGAGGAGGTAACAGTTTTGATTTTTATACAACATTTAAGTGTTTATACTTTCTTGAGCTTACGAAGACGGCTTTGTTTGTAGACGAAGTTGGCGCGATTGTGTTCGATGTTGGCGCCCAATCAGTCAGAGCTGGTTATGCCGGCGAAGATTGCCCCAAGGTACATGTTATTTCCTTTATTTTGTTTCCTTTTCTTCCCCTTCTGGTGATAAGGTACCTCGTCCGAATACATTTAAAAGTTTTTTTTGGTCATGTTTTAAATCTTGGCGTGATAATATTAAGGTTTTGACACTGATGGATCATGGGAATTATTTCAGAATAAATTGCCGGGAATTTCAAAGGCATTGTGTATGCAAAGTTTGCTGGTGTAATGAAATGATTATGATAGTGAGTTAGGGAATAACGGTAAAGAACTGTATCCTTTCTGCTAATTACTACTGGATGGTACTTGATTTGTACAGAATAATGTCTATGTATGTCTATTTGAAACAGCAATAAAGGATGCTCCTTATTAAAAAGTATCATACTCACAGGTAGCCTAAGCTCTACCTTGTTAATAGAGACCTTATCAACATCAATGTTTGGCCATCGTACCACAAAATTGTAAACAGTTAACGGTTTTACATACGTCTACAACCCATCTGCCTTTATTCAGAATTTAAGGTTCACGGATGGTAACTTGTGGCTGCTATGTTTGTTTTCATTTATTAATTCATTCACTTCTATTTTAGCTGTGGAATCATCTTCAAAATTATGTTTCAATGTAAAAGAATGTACTAATATTAGCAAGCAAAGGAGTTCTGAAGTACTCGTATAAACCTCTCAAAAAGTGGGATTGTGATGTTTAAGGGTGCAAAACAACTTGTTGTAAATCACTTTATACCTCTCAAGCCGAGTCTAGCTGTACTAATATGAACCTCAAATCACAAAGCTGACATCAAGGCACTGCTTACTTGACTTTTTGATGTTTGCAGTTTGTCAGAAATGCCAAAGAGTCTCAATCTTAAGGTCGCTAATAATATCATGAGTGTATCACACAATGTTTTTAGCATGACAGCTATTGCATTTGTATGGGAAGTTAGTGGCAAGTATTCTGTTAAAAGGGAAAATTGTGAATGCTTGGTACTGAAAATAATTGTCGACCTAGACTCCATTACAAGACTTTCACCAAACTGGTTGGCATGATTCTAGCAGTTTTATTCACCTTTTCAAGATCAATTTGTACCACTTTGTCTACCCGTCGTACAGTAAAACCAGGTCAAGCGTTCCCATTGCTAACGAACTAATGAACTCATTAACGGAAAAATGATTTCATTTGTTGATTCAATAATCCATTCATAAAATGAACAATCCAATATTCATAATTATTACATAGATACTGACGAAATACCAGGATTTTTCCTTTTACTAAAAAATCATATCTTCATCGAGTGCAGTGAAGATACTATTTTTATCTTTCACATGTGAGGATATTGCTGTCGCCATGGTTACTAACATGATTTGATTTTGATTTTGGAACAGGAAATATGAGCATTATTGTCTTTATTATTTTCTTCTTTCTAACTTTATATCCGAGTTTTATAACATTTTTGTGACAGGCATCTTGCAATAGGTGACCACTTTAATTGCACTATTTTATTGTTTCGAAAATGAATATAAAAAATGTAGGAATTTCATCAGTATCTATAAAATAAACAGAACATTACATGGCCGCTTGGGGATACCAATTTTATCTTCTCGTGCTGAAAGTATCTCTCACTCGTTCGCTTCGCTCACTCGTGAGAGATACTTTCAGCACTCGAAGATAAAATTCGTATCCCTGCGCGGCCATGTAATATCCTCTATTTATCCTTGATTCCATAATCGCATGTTGATTCGATTACTGTTTTTGAAAAACTACACTTTCCACCAGTCGACCTCAGAATTTCGTTTTTTCTTCTTTTTTTCTAAGAGTCAAGTGCGGGCGAGTTCTGAAGTTCAAACCCAAACAAACTGTTACATGTAAGCCATTTTGCTACCGGTATTCAGTGCAACAGACCTTACCTCTTAGAAAACACGATGGTCAAACTGAGGTCAGTGTATGAGCGGTGATTGGTGGATTTCGATCCTCGGCCTTTGTCAGTTTCTTTGCGTTTACGGTCTGTCTATTCTAGCTGTTATCAATGAAAAACGCAATCGTAGACGGGCAGGAAAAGGGAAGCAAATACGATTGAACACAACAGACGAGAATAAAGAACAGGTAGATTTTGTTCATAAACCAAATCAATATTTAATTATTGAATCGAGGTCCAATTTGACTGTTGGATTATTCATATTATGAATGGATTAGTGAAACAACAAACGAAATCATTTTTGCATTAATGAATTCATTAGTTTGTTAGCGACAGGAACGCTTGACCTGGTTTGACTGTAAGCATGCTTATTGCATGTTGTTTTGTGTTATGTTGCAGTATGATGTTCCTACATTTATGGGAGTAGTAGAAGAAGAAACTAAAGAAGAAATCATGGAAACAGATGTTCCATCAGAAGGTACAACTACTACTCAATGTACTGTGTATTGTTAGGAATTTCATGGGGTTCCATAACCAAGCGAAAATAAATATTTAGGCCCCAATAGTTCAAAAGGTGGATAGCACTATCCCTTCAATAACTGGATCGCATTAGTTTCGCAAATACAAATGCACTTATCCACTGGATAGTGATATATCCGGTGGAGAGCGCTAGCCAACTTTTGAACAACTGTTGTCAGATTATTGAAAACGTAATATGCAAAATTTGGGGGACAAACAGAGTGTTTTGTGTGAATGGTGGATTTGACAATAGTCTATGAAGTGTGGATTATCAAAAATTGTATTTATACGTACACTGTACTGTATGCACCTGTATGGAAAGCCTAGTAATATTGTCTGTAACTGGGTAATTTATATTTTGTGTCTTGATCTGTTCTTTCCTTTTTTTTTGGCAGAAAAGCCTAAAGTTGCGGAGAAAAAATACTTTATTGACACAAATAGTATCCATCTACCCAAAAGTAACATGGAGATGCTAAATCCTGTTAAAGATGGAATGAGTAAGTATTGAACATATATGTGGAAAAAAATAACGGTATGACAGATGATCAATGATCATCAGACGCTATACCATCTTCCAAGAAACACTCGTCCCCAAGGATTACAATTTGGCATTTGAGTTTTACTGGTCCCAAATTTGCAGCAAAACCCAAAATTTTGTGATAATTTCACTCAGTGGAACGGAAACTTGAACACATTATTTTACTCTTTACCTCTGGATCCCCATGTATTGAATAAACATTGATTAGTGTCATCAGTACAGAATTATTTTGAAGCAGAAAATGCAAACATGTTATTCTTTGTAATGAAATGTCCCAATAGCCAAAATATTCGAAGGTTGCACAGTGCATAATTGTATCTTGTGCTGTAAAGGTATGCTTTTCCTCTGTTGATCATTACCATTGTGGTCTTTTTAATCACACAGTTGAAGACTGGGACATGTTTGAGAAACTGTTAGACTACATTTATGCCAAGGACATCAAATCAGAATCAGGGCTTCATCCTGTTCTCATGTCAGAGGCCTCAGTAAGTGATAGAGACAACACAATACAAGTCATGTATAAGCAGCAGTGCCAATGGCAAGCTGATCATGAAGGGAGGCAATCTTTGTGGTTTTTGCTTTGTTTTTTATAATAACTTCCTTGTTAATACACATTCTTTTGTGAGCTGATTATTTCAAAGTTAAAATTTCTGTGCAAATCGGGACAATTTACGATCATTCTTTTTTTCACTGGTTATTTTTTGTTCAGATTAATGTTAGTTGTTATGATCAATAATAATTATAAAATAAGTTTCACACCTGGCTGTAGAAGGAACGTCTTCAAAAACTGTATTTTTCCCTTTTGTCACATAATCTCTCGTACATGTACAATTGTTTCAAGGTTGTATCATAATTATTTATATATTATACAAAGAGGGCAGCCACATGTTATGACATAAAGTTTGTTTTTCTTACAGTGGAATGTCCGTCCCAAGCGAGAGAAACTCACAGAATTAATGTTTGAAAAGTACAATATTCCAGCATTTTTCCTCTGCAAAAATGCTGTGCTAGCAGCATTTGCTAATGGAAGATCAACAGGTCTTGTAATAGACTCTGGGGCAACACAAACCAGTGCTGTCCCAGTGCACGATGGATATGTTCTCCAGCAAGCTATTGTTAAGTCTCCTTTAGCTGGCGATTTCATCACTGCTCAGTGCCGTCAGCTGTTTGAAGAAAAGAACATTGAAATTGTGCCACCTTATGTTATCGGCAGTAAGGTAATGTACATTTCTGCTGTAATCATAATCTAAGGGCAGTGATTTTGTTACCTCTGCATCTCACGTCCCTGGTGAATAAAAATCCCCATAGACATGAAAACAATTGATGGCATGCATCCTGTACGACGTAAAGATCAAGTGATTGATCTGAACATGTCTATTTGTAGTAATATCCCACTCAAGTAATTTCTGTGGCAGTTATAAAATTTATGGCTGTTGTTTAACAATGCATATTTCTTTCAGCTTTTGTTCTACTTTAAAATAGAAGGACTATATTATTTTATTTTTAATTTCAGTATAATATAATACAGAGTTTTGGAGTCTGTCTTCAGATTAACTGTTTGGTTTGATACATAAAGGCCCAAGCATTTTCAATGTCGGACTTGTTTTTTTTAACTGGAACTCATTGGTTCTGGAATGGAACTCATGATTTTTCACAAGATAAGTCCCAGGACTCACCATAACTATTTGTAACAAAATCATTGAAGGGGCTCTGTACATGGAGGGAGGAATAGCTGTAGCAACAGGAAAATCCTAGAAGGCAGATCATCCTAGTGCATAATGTTTTCTGTATTCAGTTGACGTACAAAGGGTTGTTCTTGTCCCTACGATCTTCCTAGCTGTGAGGAAGAAAAATCTTAGCACCATGTACTGGTAAATCACTTTGATAGGAAAATCCTGGTACTAAGGACAAACGAGACAATGATGATACAAACATGTACAGTCTGTACATGTATTGGTAATCATGGCAATAATGGCCGACCATTTCGTTTTGTGGTTAATTGCCATGAGCTGATAATTGTGATAATTCTGCTGAACAGTAGTTATTAACAACAGTATTTAGAGAGCTGAAGGTTACAAATTGCATTTTTGTTATTTTTGCCCGCCTTCTTTTTAAGTTCCTCTTCTACAAATGTACTTGGTAACCACACAGACCAAAATTTCAGCATGTAAACCCACTGAAAAGTTCTTCTGCCTCTTAGGACTTTCCTGGTGATAGGATCTTCCTCCCACAATATAAACAGCCCTTAATAACTAGTAGTGCCTTAATTGTGTGAAAGATTTGTATTTCTTTGTGCATGTTTAATGCCATTTTACACCGTACCATAAACAAATTAATCTGAGCCCCTTTTCTATGTGAGTGCTTGTAACATGTGTATGTCACTAACCAGTACATTGGTAGGTTTTGTACTTAAAAGAATTAAGGCCGCTTTTTGATGTATATGAAGAAAAGTTGTCCCATGAAGAAAGGATTGCCCGCCAACTCAAGCTACCCTGGGCAAACCTTCTTTTCATACATTTCCTTACAAAACATGGCGAATTGTTTACATCAGAAACAAAAAGTTGAAGAAGAAGAAGGGTGATCCCCCTAGCCCTCCTAGAAAGGCCAACTTTCCTCCTTAAAAACACTTTCGCTCACCCAGCTACGTCAACTCAGTCAAGGCGAGACAATCTGAGCATGTTTGAATGCTGTTGTAGACAATAAGGGCATATGTGAGTGCTGTTGCTTTGGGCTCTTCTAGCTAGGGCATCTTTTGTTCATATAAAGGGGGGTGAACTGTTCAAACTGAATTTCTTACATGTAATGAGTTTTTACATGTAATTCATAGGAAGCATCAAAAGAAGGTGGACCAGCCATTTTTACCAAAAAGAACAGTCTACCGTCAGTTACTAAATCTTTCCACAGACACATGGTTAATGTAAGTACGTTATACACTGAGCCTGAAAGATGTTTTAAAGTTTACTTGTATGACTAACAATTAACAAACTACCTACCTGCACAGTGCTACAAACTGTTCCAATGAGTCACAGTGTCTCTACCAGTGCTTTCATCAAGTCCTTTAAATGAAACCATTGCATTCCATAATAATAGGCCACTTACATTAATAAGTCATGTGACCAATGCTTCCTTTAGAAAATGAGATGGAATCTTGCTGATGCGAAAACTTGAAAGAGCACACAAAAATTATCTTTACACTCCAATTTTGAAAGGAAACACATTTCAGGGAAACATTTTATGGCACTTTGATTTTTTCAACAAAGTAGTATGATTTGTATTCGCTGCCAAGTTGAAAGGGATACTCTTGCCCTCCAACGTGGTGGCCAGAACTACTTTTTGCTTGTATGCTATCTTGTTAAATGTTTGATAGTTGCACTCAGATGTGCTCTAAATGTTACCACATCATCTTTTCAACATTTTCCTGTGAAGTTTAACTGCAAAATTTTTTTTTAAAAGATGTAATTCTTAATTTTAAAAATCACATTTTAGTCACATGACCAGCTGTGATCTTGCTCAATATTTAAGAAAATGGTACGGGTTTGAGAAACCAAATCACTATTATTTTGTTAAAATATGACCTAGTAATCGTTTTTTGAAGGTAGAATCATATAACTTTCATTTTCATAAAAAATACAATTTCACATGACCTTTTAGTCAAAAAAATGGCCTATTGAAACAAAAAGGAAATTCCTATCAAACTGGTTGTAGACTTAAGGATGCCTGAAATTCGATGAGGTTTTAGCATCTCTCATAAGACTCCTCCCTTTTTGGACTGGGACTCGATAGTTTTCAAGAGATGACTCCTAGGACTCACTACAGAATAAATTCTGCAACACTCAGGTGCAATCTTTGTTTTGCCTTGTAGTATGGTATTGTTGATGGGTACCTGTATGTTTGACTAGAGTACAAAGTAAGCAGAGGTTCTGTTTGTGGGGGTGCTTGTTTGTTTCGCTGTATGTTTTACTAAAATTGTTTCTGGTAGATAATAATCCACTTTGTCGTTGTAGGAAACTATCCAAGATTTTCAAGTCAGTGTCCTTCAAGTCTCAGATGGCCCATATGATGAAGGGTTAGTCTTGTGTTGCTTTTTTCAGCCTCCTGTGCGGTGTTTGATGTGATCTCTATCATCAGGTTATCGATATCATACCATTTTGTCTTTTCCAGTGTTCTAGGTAACATTCCAGGAGTACTCTATGAGTTTCCTAATGGCTATAACAACACATTTGGTGTGGAGAGATTTAGAATTGCAGAGGGACTTTTTGATCCTTCAAATGTTAAGGTTAGTCAATGAAAAGTTGCTCAATTGTTTTATCATATTGCACGTTTAAATACTTGTCTGCAGCATAAACTGTCATAAATAATCTACAGTGCAATTATGCAGTGGAGAATAATATTACATGTATTTATTCAATGAAAGATAGTGATTCCATTGATTCAGGTGATATTAATATTCCTTGTCACAGATGTGCCAGCGTCCAATCATGTTTGCATAGTGCAAAACATGTGAGGTATCTTAAAATATCAGTGCCCTTTTTAATGCTCTTATTTTATCTGTGATCAACAAACAATCAGGTAGCCAGTTCAAACAAAGAGGGCACTTGGATTGTTTTCCTTAGATTTAGCTTTGAGCAGATCTAATTATCTGCCTTGTTTGACTACACAGCAAGTTGTTAGAAAATTGTACATAACAAAATTATTGATTGATTGAATTTTGAGCTAATATTTATGTCCTTACTGATTTCTGTCAGGGCATTGAAGGTAGTACGGCCATCGGAGTCACACAAGTTGTTACCACTAGTGTAGGAATGACTGACATAGACATAAGAGCAGTAAGTTGAATCTACTTGTCAAATGTATTTGAGGTAAAGTGTAGGTCAATAATGCCAGTAAACAACATATTTTTCTAAAATTGTGAAAGGTTTGAACCCAGGAGTCATTTCATAAGTGGGGTGAGTATAACCTCTGGGTGAACGTAGACCTGAATAGGACTGTTGTAAGAGTTGCTGACAGTGACTGACAGTTCGACAACCTGTGCAGTAGTCATCTTCAGAATGTTATATTTTTCCATGGTAAATACATGAAGGACAGGGCAGAAGCAAGAAACCTTTTAGTAATAAAGACTGTATGTACTCTCGTTAGTCAATGATTTGCTGAGTACAGTGTTTGCCATTTTTCTTTCAGGGCTTATTTGGCAGTGTGATAGTGACTGGTGGTAACACTCTTCTTCAAGGTTTCGTTGAAAGACTCAATCGTGAGCTTCTCACCAAGACACCTCCTGTAAGTATACATGTACTATGTTTTGCACTTCAAGGCTTCTTGTGTTTGTTTGTCTGTTTGTTTTGTTTTGTTTTGTTTTTACTGTAAAAGGGAGATTTCATGTGTTTCTGATTACACCGGGCTCTAGCTATGTAAGAATCAGAGTCTAAGGATTTTGCCTGGCTACTCAAAATGTGAGCCAATAGTATTAAAGATGACACATGAAACAAAGAAAATGTCAGATCTCTGTCCACTGTGCTATTTCCTTTAAAATTCAGTGACAGATCGGCGTCCTCCCGCCACCTCTCTCCCCTTTCACCCCTTATCCCTGTCACCCTACAGTCTTCCTTTGTCATGATAACAAATGAATGAGTGTCTTAATCGTGTACAAAACGCACGCATGACTATATGCTGGGCCACCTAGTTTGTAAACGTGGCAGATACTTAAAAAGAAGTCTATAGATGTGGAAAAATACTTAGCTACCCAGCTCTGTGTTTGCAAACACATACGTTATTTCTAAGAATAGCTGAGTGGTCGAGGGGTAAGGGAACACAGGTCACGATCACAGGTCACCTAATTACTTCAGTAGAAAAACGCGACTTGTGCTGTTGCAGCCACGTAGATATCTCCGGCTAGTCTCCTAACAGTTAGAATTCTGGGCCCAGTTCCTTTCTATTCTATCCTATTTGGAGCGTCCGGATCTCGTGGTTGAAGCTTAACATTGCATTTTGAGCCCTAGTTACATGTTCCTAGACAAGGCAACTTCGCTTAAAATTTGGCTTTATTCTGTCATTAAACTTAACCATCTCTCGAGAAACCGAATTGAGATACCGGGGTAAAAGAGACAGTTTTTATTGACTAATCTCTTGATTTTTTGTTTGTTTGTTTGTTGTTTTTATTTTTTCATAGAGCATGCGTCTAAAACTGATCTCTAATAACACGCCCATGGAGAGGAGATTTAACCCATGGATAGGCGGCTCAATTCTGGCCTCACTTGTAAGTTCAGAATTCCTTTTTTCCTTTTTTTTATGTGTGATAAAAAAGGGGAAGAACGGTTATGCAGGAAAGCGGTGATACCTTATCGCCTTGCTTTCTTCAGTTGTTATCAAAAGGGTAAAAGCCGTTGAATTATTAACTAAGTAGGTACGACCTTCAATATTTTTAACCTGTTGGATGGGCGTTTTGAGATGCAAGCAAATGGGACAAAGCCTCAGTTTTTTGTTGTTTTTTTTTTGTTTCACAACAAATATCACTTTATGGATGGCCCACATTGCTGTCGGTTCCGTGATGTTTCGTTTATATAAACGGTAAAGTATTAGGAAAACTGTCCTTTGTAACTCACTGCAGAGTCACACGGGATGTGCAAAAGCGTTGCTGACCAGTACTTTGTCTCGGAAACTTAATTTGGTAATTTTTATTTTTATCTGACCCCGATTTCTTTTTTAGGGTTCGTTTCAACAAATGTGGATATCTAAACAAGAATACGAAGATCAAGGAAAGGGATGCGTTGAAAGAAAGTGTCCCTGACTTCTCCGCCATATAGACTAGTGATACAATGTATTGTACCGTAGTGGACTCATTTCAGCTCCTTACTATGTAACAGATGTCGCCGTTTTGGACTGCCTCCGCCGCTGATTTAATATCGCGGACTCCTGAAGAACAGTGTGCTCAGATGACTTGTTTTTATTCAGTGGTTTCATGGTAACGGTTTATGAAGCTGAAGTCTTCACAGGCCTTTTTAGTACTATTGAACTACATGCATAAAGGCAATTTTCAAAATGTTTTTAAATCGAGTTTGAACTACTTCTCCTGTTTGTTTATCTTTCTTTTGCTTTAGTCTTATGGTAGAGACTAGAGCATTCAATGTAGTTAACCTGGCAACCTCTCCGAGTCTGCTTTGCGGCGTCAGGGCAAACCGAAAGGCAAAACTGTTTTCATGTAAATATCCTAAAGCCAAACCTTAAAACAAATAAAACGAGAAAGAACAATTTTGTCACTGTTTGTTATTTTAAATTTTTCTTTTTAAATGGCGACTTTGACCTCAGTGCGAATAAACTAACCTCCTTCTCCTGTTTGTTTCTGCGCTCCCACCGTGAAACGAAGTAAGTTTGGTTCTTTGTCCGCCATTTTTATTTCGTGCACTCCCACCGTGAAAAGAAGGGTGAGACTGGGGTAGCCTGAACCACCTTGGGTTTTTAAATAATACTTTGCAAAGATGAAACGTTATAATAACAACAACGACAACGACAACACTTTATTTATACAGGGTAAAAGAAAAAACAGAATTACACAAGTAATTGTCATCCGGGCACTGCCAAAATAAGGAAAACGTATTTTGCTAAAAAGCTCATAACCTCATGCTACTTATTACGTCATGTTTCGTGTCCAATAGGCCATTTCCGAGTTCCAAAACCTCTTATTTTCAAAACGAGGTTAAGTGCAAAACCTTTCTGTGATAATGAGTTTCATTTGAATGAGAATGAAAAATGATTTTCATTCCAATGGGTTCGCACTCAATCTCGTTTTGAAACAGAGGCTTGGGCAATTCGGAATTGGCCTATTGGACCCAGCTCGTTCTCAGGCTCTCTCTCCTCTTCGTCACCTGAAGTTGAGTAGAGTCATGGGCTCTTGGTAGAGTGAAAAGTAGCCCGTTCCGGGCTCACGGATATTGCAGGTAAGTGAAAAAGCGAGCAAGTAAGAGTAGAGGGGGGGGGGAGAGAGAAGGGGAGAGCCTGTAAGCATCCTTTTATATACCTTAATCCGCCCACTGCCCCTTCCACTTCCAGGAAAACCGTTTCTCGTTAAAAAAATGTCATGTGCGGTGTATGAGACAAAACAAGATAGCTTCGGTGGATTAAGGTGGCCCGAACCTATTTATGTGCGCGTTGATTGTGTTTTTAAATCGCGTTTTTCGGCAGGAAAGATTTCACCGATTTCTATGATTTTTGTCATCCTTACTAAAGAATGGTCGAACTTTCAGAAACTCTTATCTATTTTCTTCTAGGTATAAAAAAGTTTTAGATAACGACATATCTTTAAAACCGCATTTTTACAAAAAATGTCAATAACTCGAAAGCCCAAGACAGTTTTTCTCTAACTTCAGCAAATAAGCCTTAGGGCTCTCTCAATCGTGACCGTAGAACTCGCTGCTCAAATAGCTGGTCAAATTTAACCTTAAAATGCAATGCTAACACATTTGTGAAAGTTGACGAACAAACAGAGGAAAACTGTCGACGGACTATCTCCTATCTGCAAGGGTATCCTTGCCCAAAGCTTCAGTTGCAAGAAACTGGGTAATCAGAAACCTACGGCGAATACAGTTCGCAATACAAGAAGAACAACTTTGTGCTGAATGGGGGCAAGATTAAAAAACTTCCACTCATCAAACTTACTTTGTATTTGTCCCTCTCTTTTCGAAACCTATCTTAACAAGGCAAATTATAGAATCTACGAGAAACTGTCAAGAGTTTTTAGCGTCGCAGGTTTCCGTTTCGAGGGGAAATAAAGCCACCAACTCCAGTACTAACCCGTCTATTTTTCAGCTGCACTGAAAGCCCTTGTACTTGGTAATTTATTCAAGCTTTTTAAACTTGACATCACATTCGCACGGGAAGTTTGCCGCCTGGGGATAAAGATGAAGAAAATATGACAATCATGTTATTCTTTTCATTATCCCCAGAGGCAGACTGCCCGTTCGAATGTGATGGCAAATCTTACAAGCTTGAATAAATTACCTAATGCATCTGTCAATTTCCCCCGGGCTGACCCCCGGGCATTAGCATTTTTTTTTCCTTGGATGGCAAATCCCGGGGGTGGGGACTCTTGAGTTGTCAAATCCCCCGGGGTGGGGACGAAAACAGAGGGCAAATGCCCCGTCCTCCGTCAACACTACAACATTTTTCATTGATCGCACAGTCGAGTAGTGCCATTTTAAGCATTTTAATGTGCGATTTTTTGTTTCAATTAACGTCTTCCTTTGTAATAGTGCTATTCTAATTAAAACTTCACGCCGTGACGACACCAGTTTATGGTTTTTTAGTATTGTTATAAAATTATTGACATTAAAATTTTTAGTGCGCTGCAAAGTTAACTGTTATGAATAGTTTTACAAATATGAAAGGATGTTCTTCAATAATATCAACAGAATTTTGATTCAATAACCAATAATCGATAGCTACCGATTTCGCTCTGTAATTCTGGCTTGATAAGCAATGAAGAAATGCATGCATGAAATCGAGAACATGCCTTTACAAAGTTCTTCAATTTTTCCCCGTCCTTGACAAATGAGCCAATCTGCTTGTTTTTCCAATGAAATCCTTTGTGTAGTTATATTCTGATAGGAAACCGCGTGCGTGTCAAAAACTCAGGGTTCGCCCCGTGGTTGGCAAATGCCCGGCCCCCGGGCAGCCCAAAATTTGCAAATGCCCCACCCCGGGGACTAACAAGGCGAGCAAATGCCCTGCAGTAGCCCGGGGTGGGGGTGGGGGGGGTTGGGGGGTATGGGCGCAGCTGGAATTGACTGATGCATAATAGAAGGCTTTTCCTTGCAGCTGAAAATGGATTGGTTGATTTACTGGAGCTGGTGGTTTTATTTCTCCTCAGATCAAGAGGGGAACCGTCTGTGCTAAAAACTGGTAAGAGATTTCCGTGGATGCTATATCTTGCGTTGTTGAGATTTTTTTCCAAAATTAAAGAGAAGGGAAAATACACAGTAACTTTGATAAATAGATGTTCGTTCATCTTGCCCGCATTCAGTATAAAGTTGTTCTTCTTGCATTGTGAACTGTATTCGCCGTAGGTTTCTGATTACCCAGTTTCTTTCAACTGAAGCTTTGGGCAAGAATACCCTTGCAGATAGGAGATAGTCCGTCGGCAGTTTATATGCGCGTCAACTTTCACAAATGTGTGAGCGTTGCGTTTTAAGGTTAAACTTGACAGGCTATTTGTGCAGCGAGTTCTACGGTGACGATTGACTTCAAACTTGCAGATATAAAAATAGAGAGCTCTAAGGCTTATTTGTTGAAGTTACTGAGAAAAATCTGTCTTAGGGTTTCAAAGTTATTGACATTTTTTGTAAAAATGTGTTTTTAAACATATGCCGATATCTAAACCATTGTTATATCTACAAGAAAATAAATAATAGTTTCTTAAAGTTCGACCGTTCTTTAGTAAGGATGACAAAAATCGTTGAAATCGGTCACATCTTTCCTGCCGAAAAACGCGATTGAAAAGCATCACCAACGCGCATATTAATAGGTTCGCGCCACCTTAAAAATGTTTTAATAATTCATGGTGGACTGAAATTTATCTCACGATTCCTTGTCTTAATGTTAACTTGAAACTCTTGGCTATTATGTACAAATAAGATCTAACTGAGTACAAAGTCAAAAAACTGTTTTTAACTAAACTTCTTAATGGGGTTCGTGTTTTATGAATTCAAAAACTGCCCGTTATGCCCCGTCTTTTGAAGTTGATTAAACACCTCTACTAATAACCGTGCAATAGTGCATATTAATAATGCCAACAGTTAATTGTAGACTATGTAATATCCTCTATCTACAAAACGAAGAATGCAGTATTCCTCACTGAAAACAAATGATTATATTTTACCTTTAGACGTCACGGATGAGTCTCAGGGTTAAACATATTGACCAGCTAGTTTTTGTAAGTTCTCTTGAGCAACCCTTAAAAGCAGGTGCTTTTGTGCATGTAGCCTATTTCTATATTTAGTTTTTCATTTATTCAGGTGTCATTTCTGTCTTCTGAATTAAAACTGGATACTGAAATTTCTTTGATCTGGAATTTTTTATCATCTTCATTTTCATACGTAGTTATTACTGCTTCTTTTAATTTCACTCATAAAGCGAGCGAAAACCCTTTAAAATCACCTGGTTGGAGATATGATTAAAGAAACAAGTATCCATATACCATAAGGAGCGGAGTTAATGGGTACAATATTGACATGAGTGTATATCGCAGGTCAATATGTCATTGGTTTAACTTTCATTTCCGTTTCTTTTTGGGCATGGTAATATATGACAATGAGTTTGAAACAAAGGAAAATATTTAACCACAACATATATTTTAAGATAAACACGGGTTGGACGTTGCTAAAGCCGACAAGCAGAAGTTTCTGAAGTGAAACTGCGGAAAGCCTCTTTGAACTCGATTTAAAGGTTCTTGCGAATATCCTATGAAATAATCTTCTCACAAGGTAACATTGTCTTCCATGTTTTGGTAAGAGTCACTTAGAGTTTTCTTTTCACATATTTAAGGTCTTCTCATTTCACCACTGGTGAGCCATGAAGTTCTCAACAGAGTACAAAAATTCCAGTCACAATACAACCGACAGCGTTGGATTTTCTTTTGTTTAGTCATTGATACCGAGACCAATTAAGCCTCACTGACGACTAAAATCTTCGTTCACATTGAATATATTTTCTCTCAAAATAATAATAGAAAACTTTTTACTGAACTTTTAATTTCGTTTTAGGGTAAAATGTTTGCTTCTGGCAGACATCCACACTGAAATAGCATTTTTGGCATTTGTTGAACTATAAATTGTCTATTCTCTATTTTCCAATTGCCCATAATACACTCTGTTTGCCCCCCAAATTCTGCATAAACCATTGTTTTTAAATGCTCCTGGGAGTATTGCATTTTCCCAAGAGCATTTTAAGACAATAAGTTATGCAAAATTTGGGGGGCAAACAGAGTGTATTATGGGCAATTGGAAAATAGTCAATTCATGTGTTTTTGTAATTCCTCAATATTGGCAATATCTTTAATTTGAACAGTCCTTTCTTAAAGT